CCATTTCAGGCTGCGGTGCCTCTTACCTGCTCTGCAGCTCCTTCAAACCCAGGAGGATGTTTCCGTTAAAATAAAAAAATAAAAGAAAAGGTTGGTTTCTTCCTCTCTATCCTCCTTATGGTTTTGAAAAACAAAAAGTCTTGGCCAAGTCTTGCCTGAAATGGACATTTTCCACCCTCCCTGGTCGATTGTAGCTCACGTACCTCCAGAGGCTCGGACTGCGCCGAGCAGATCCGGGGGCTGCGTTCCCTCAGGGCAGCCGGACCTCACCGGACCCCCTCCCCTGGGGATGCCACCACCATCCAACCGGCCACCCACTGCACCCGCGGCCCTCACCTCTGGCACCGCCGTCCTCTGCTGTGCTCCAGATGGGGAATGCAGCCAGCGGCCCCAAAACGGCCTCGGGCCCCGCTGGAAGTGCTGGCACAACCCTACAAGTAAAATAAATGCAATAATAACAACACCAACACCACCACCACAATAACATTCTAGTACCAATAACAATTATATTCTTAATAATAATAATAATAACATTCTTATTATTAATAACAAAAATATCCTTATTGCTAATAATAACAACATTCCTCTTCATAATAAGAGTAATATTCTTATTAATAACAACAATATTCACAGATTCATACAATGGTTTGAGTTGGAAGGGACCTTCGAGAACATCCAGTTCCAATCCCCCCACCATGGGCAGGGACAACTATTAGTATACTATATTATTAATATTCTTATTATTAACATCAATAAACATATAATAGTAACATTCTTAGCAATAATAACAATAACATTCTTCTTAGTAACAACAATAACCTTATTAAAAATAACAATAATAACAAAAAAAATAATAATAATAATAATAATGACACTTTATCTACCAGCACGTTACAGCACAAAACCTCCTTGTTTCTCTGTCCCACCTGCTCTTCTCCCTCCTTGGCGTTACCTCTTCCGCATCTGAGAAGGACAGGGGACATCTCCCAGCTGTTCCCCTGCCTTCCCAAATCTTTACTTACCTTAAATCCTTAAAACCCCAATTCACATGGATGTACCGACAGCCCCAGCCTCGCTCCACGTCCCCCCGGAGACCCCCGATACACACGGCAACTTGTGCCCGGTGCCACGGCAGCGATGCCAACGCACCAGCCCCCCCTCTCCATCAGTCCAGCAATTAAATCACGTGGAGTTCATCCGTACTTTAAAATAAGCTTTATTTAGATCTTTTATAATTTTATATTTGCATCCATGCCTTCAAGGATTCCCCCCGGCTCACGCGGGGAAAAGTTAAATCTACTGTTACCCATAATTCATATGCTATTTATCGAAGTTCTCTTTTAAATAAATCATCCTCTTAGTAATTTTTAGAATTATTTCCTAATTTACAAAAAAAAAAAAAAAGCTGAAATGCAAAGGAAACTACTCGATAACAAGGAGATTTGCTCATCTCTTCCGGTGGTTGAGAGTTTAAAGTATAAAAACGCAAGGAGAACAAGAAAACAAACAAAAATTTACAAAAAAATTACTCCCCCATAAACCAACAAATATAAAAACGCTTCTTCTGCAGTTCTGCAGAGAAAGGAGCCACGGGGCAACCTCTGCCCGGCCACCCCTGCAACATCCCGTTCGCAGGAACACACAGCGCAACGGCATCGGCGGTTTCGTTCGGCGATTTAAGACAAAAACGCCCCTTTTTTTTCCCAACCGGGGCGCGCGTATCGAAATTAAGAAAAATAATACACTATTATAGCATCATTAAATAAATCTTAATACATTTTTTTTTCTTTAAAGAGCTTAAAATTATATCGTCAGCGTTAAAGCGTAAGGTACTTATCTTGGTGTAAGCAGAGCGCGGTGCGTGTTAGTGGGGAGGGGAAGCGGC